CCGCGGTAACGGCGGTCGCGGAAGGGGCCGGTGCCGGCCCTGCCAGGAGCCGTGTGCCGGGGGGCGGCGGGCTGGCGGCGGCCCGGGGGCCGCGGTACCCCCGGGGTGTACGGGGACGGGACGGCTCCCGGAGGCCCGCCTGGGGCTCTGGCACCCGGTAAGGGAGCGGGGCACATTGCCCACCGCCGCCACCGAGCCCCGCGCAGCTTTAATGAAAAACTCCAAGTAAACTCATACACACAAAGTTCATCTATCAGGCGTGTCATGCCCAGGCGATGGGGAAAATGCCGGAGTAGTCTGTAGCCTGCCACCGCGCACCCACAGGCTGCACGTACCTGGGCGATTTCATTTGTTAGGAAATGTAGGAAACAAGCGTGGTCCACTGAAACTGAATGAACTAAATCCTGGAGTTTTCCTTATGCCTTAGACCTAGTCATGTTCATACCAGGATTCCCATTAGTTATCTTTCCCCTAAAGATAGGGGAATTCCATCCTCTTAACTGAAAATGAGTAAAGTTTCAGAGCCACACTTGCATTATTTTAAATCTATAGTGTTGCAGTATACTACACTCATTCTTTTCTTTACTCTTGTAATCGTATGAAAAATATTTTGCTGCTTCTCTTTTACTTTCAAGATTTATATCAGTGCAGTTTCGGTGACCTTCACTTTACTGCCTGGCCTTCAAGTACAGACTTCTTGTTATAAGTAAACCATTTAAGGAGGGACTTAGTCTAAATAATAATTTCTACAGCTGTCAGTTTGTCCTTCTGAAATTGAAAACTTGTTAAATGCATACTTTCATTTATCTTTCCAGAATTCCTATGGTCCCAGCTAGGATTATAACTTATCTACTAACTGGTAGTTCTGTAACGTCATTAGTATCTAACCAAATCTTAAACTGTATCACTGTTCTGATGCTGTCCTCTGTTCCTTACCATGCCTGGAATGTGCCTTTAGAAGTAGCATTTTTCTCCCTTTTTTTTTTTTTTGTGGGAAATACATGACCAAAGCTGTGTAGTGTTTGTCTAACAACAACAGAGATCTCCTATTGCACAGTTAAGTGTGACCGGGGGAACTGTAATTGTCCACTAGTTTCTTGCACCTTCTCAGAAGTAACTGCTATGTTTGACCCACTGCTGCAGTTGGGTATGCTCATCTAGAAATTTGTATAGTGTCTCTGTGTTTAAGGCTAGAAAGAAAGGTTTCTAGGCCACAGATGCATCTTCTCTCCCACACAAAGACACGGCAAGAATGGCCAATTTGAAGATGCAGTAAGTAATTAAGAAGCTTCAGTAAAATTTCCTTTAACAGAAATTATGGGGTTTTGTGTGGGGCATGCAGCCCAGCACATGTGGAACTTCTCCTGTGTTCCATTGTGTAACGATGGGTGGGTCAGGTAACATTAAGCATTGTTAAAGCTGCCCGACGGTTCCCATTCTTCGTGACTTGGCAAAATTTGAACCAGTTGGGATGAAATATTCTAGACCAGATGTCTACCTCGGGCTATTTCATTTTCTTGCTCTTAATTTCTTCTACAATGATTCATTGTTTCCAAGAAGAAAGCCAGAGAAAAAGAAAATCATAATACAAACATTATGAGGGTTTAATTTAAAAATTCTTGTATCCCAGCTGAAGTGTGAAAATTTGATGGGCAAGGGGGAAGAGACAACCTTTTTCAGTGCTGTTGCTTTGCTCACTAGCCTTGTAATAAACCTGCATAAGGTAAACCAAATCATATTATTTGGGGAGGAAAAAAAAAGCTTAGTATTCACATGCTCTGCACAGATCTACTGGAGTATGGTAAACATGACTGAAGAGTCTGCCTGCCTTAAACATGTGCCAGACTGCATCTGGAATGAGGCTTCCCTTCAAAAAAAAAATGGAAAACTCATGTCCCACAACACTAAAATTTAATGATGTGAGAGTGCTTTCACTTCCCCCTGTGCATGGTGAGTGGAGGTGAGAATCCTGAGAGGGGAAGGGTTCCCGGAGAGAGGAGCTGTGTGAGCAGCACCTTGCAGGCGGTGGGAAGGTGAAGGGGAGGAGGACAGAGACTGGCCAAAACAGCCATGTGAACATTGAGGGACCAAAAGGAGGATGAAGCCAATTTGGGGAGTCCCAGGAAATGAAGATGAGGGGAAGCCACGGTGGATGTTGCGTGGGGGAAGATACGAAGAACATAGGACTGGCTGGACAAGGTGAAGGGGTTAGGATAAGAAAGGGTAGGTGGGTGGGTGAGTGAGCCTGGGGCCAGGCTAGGAGCGGGGAAGAGATGTGAATTACTAGAAAAGAGCCTGGAGCAGCGAGTTGGGAGACTTGGGCTCCCAGAGGAGAGAAGGCAAGGCCCAGAAGCAGGGAGGAACGAAGGGAGGTTTGGTCTGTGGTGGGACAGGCCAGCGACAGTGCCCCTCTCCCTGTGGTCAGCAGGTGTCTGTGAACCCAGGGCAGAGCTCTTTCTCTGGATCATCCGAGCTCCCAGGAGGCAGGACCCACACCGCAGAGATGCGTTTTGTCGGCGTGGGGTCGCTGAGGCGGCCTGGCTGTGCCGGGGTGACACTGACGGGCAGATCTTCTCCCAGATCTGCCGGCCAATGGCTGAAAAACCTTTTTAGGCTTTTTATCTAGCTATCCTCCTAAAATCTTTACATTAAAGGCAAATGCGCGCTTGCTACGTGGATACACACTTTTTGCACAATTAAAACCCAAACTTATTATGCCTATGGAGGAGCTTTCCTGGAAAATTATGTATAAAAACACATATATTTTAATAAATAGTACGTCTACCTAGAAGTCAGCGCTCTCTTTTGAAGTTCTGCCCTCAGAATTACGGACCTGTTTAGAGATCCTGGCTCCCTGCCGGCGCCGGCCTCCCGAGGACGAGCTGTGGGCGCCGGGCCCAGGAGCTTTCCTGGAAAATTATGTATAAAAATAAATATATTTTAATAAATAGTATGTCTACCTAGAAGTCAGCGCTCTCTTTTGAAGTTCTGCCCTCAGAATTACGGACCTGTTTAGAGATCCTGGCTCCCTGCCGGCGCCGGCCTCCCGAGGACGAGCTGTGGGCTCCGGGCCCGCCCCTCGCTGCCGCCGCTCCCCGCCCTCGGGCTCCCGCGCAAGATGGCGGCCTCGCAGCCCCCGCCCATCTCCCCGCCCCTGGGGAGCGCGGCGGAGGCGGGATCTCGGCGGCCCGCCCCGTCCCGTCCCGCCGGGCCACCGCCTACCGCGGTCGGCGGAGCTTGTGGGCCGTCCGCAGTGTGGAGTGGCGGGGCGGCGGGCAGCGGCGGCCGGGCCGGGATGTTGGGGCACGTACGGGGAGCAGGGGAGTCACCGGCCGCCCCGCTGGCTGCGGGCCGCGCCCGGAGCGGGCCGCGGAGCTTCATCGTACGGAGGCTTTTTGGTTCACTGGAGGCTCGAGTGCCCCCCGCCTTGGGATTCAAAAGCAAATTAATTTCCCCCGAGAGCGCAGTGGAAGCCATAGAGCAGTTATTTACCTCTCTGGGCGCTGTGTAAGGGTCTTCTGGGTGTCCGGTGTGGGGCAGAGCAAGGAGGGACGGAGCCATGTCTGGCCCCAGGAGGAGGGAAGGGAGCTCTAGGAGATGTGCTGCGGGACAGAGTCGTCCTTCCCTTCTCAGGGATGTGAGAAAAGCTTAACCCCGAGGCCGGGAGTGGAGCGGGGGGACAGAGGTGGTGGTCCACCAACTTTCCCAACCCGTCGTTGATGTACCTGGGGCCCGCGGGTGTGAGGTGACCTTCTGGCGGGGTTGGGAAGATGAGCCGCCGTGTGGATTGTCATCTCCTCGCTCACGTTTATTGCAGTAAAACGTGCTGAGGAAACGCTGTGGTACCGTGAAGGAAGAAATAGGGGACAGCTAATGGCAAGGAGGAGCCTGCTTTATTTTCTGCTTTTCTGTACTGGCTATCATGATTTACAAGGTGGAAACGTGAAAAGCCAACCCTGCTTCCTGGGACACAGAAATGTGGTGAAGATGCCTCCAAGTGTCAGAGACGGGGCTTTATCCTCAGAAGCACCTTTTTGCCTGTGGGCTCTGTTCAGTCATTAACGGCTCCGTAATAACCCGTGGCTATTAGGGGGCAGCAAGGGCGGCAGGAACCTCGCCATGGGGTACGACAAAAGCTGGGTCTCGAGGAATGAAAGCCAGCACGTCCCGTTCCAGGCTGCCGGCAGCGCCCTGGAGATGAGGAACACCTCGGCTGGGCAGATGGTGTGGCAGGGTGGGAACAGCAGCGAGACCGGCGCCCCGGAGAGCGAGGAGCACGGCGAAGAGCAGACCTACCGGCATTTCACCACCACCGTGCAAATCGTCATCTTCGTCGGCTCTTTGCTGGGTGAGTGGGTGCTGCTGGAGTTCTTTATTGGTGTGGTTTGTTTATCCTGTCGGTCGGGTACTGCAGACCAAATGGGAACCAGTGTAATCTGCTGCCTTAGTGACTCTTTCTTCATTTTAGACCCTCAGGTGTATGATTTCAAGTTTCTTGGGGGTTTTTGATGTGTAAAAGCTATTACTATAAAATACTATTCATCACAGATGAGAACTGGTACATTATATGTATGTATTGCATAGTTAACTTTTAAATCAGAATTTAAACAAGCAAAAATTAAATGGGTTGATTACACCCTTATTTTACACTGTAATGGGTTCTGTTCTCTTTACCATAGAAAAAGGTGTGGAGTATGTCAAGTAAGTTTTACTGAATTTCTGTGTCACGCTGCAGTAATCCTGTATTTGTGTCCTGCAGATTTTAAATTAATCCTTTGGAAGTACTTTATGCTGTAAATATGTATAACCACATGCAGTTTTGCCTACTTGTTATCTGTAAAGTACAAATCATACACTTTAGATATGTGGTAGTAAACTAGTACTATATTGCCATATAACTTTACAAATGTGTGTATGTTTGTTTTCTAAGTGCTTATAGTATGTTGATTTGTTAGGAATACATGTGTGTTTCCTATTTAAAAAAAAAAAAAAAAAGGCAAAATAAGCCTTATGGTGAGCCAAATTAGCAATGTTTGAGAGATCAGTAAGCAGGATTTTAGTAAAATGCCACTCCTAGCTAAATTGTTCAAAGCTGGTTCCTGGAGGTGATAAGGCTTTTCACACAGGGCTTGACTGAGTCTCCAGCTCTTAGGAGAGTTCAGGACTTTGCTGATGGTCATTGGCTCTTATTATCGAGGATTTGGTTTTGTTTTTCCTGATCTTGAGTAATGCTAAAATCCGTTTCTGTGGTCATAGTAATTAATTCTAATATCGATTTCTTCTTGGTAATATCACTTAAATAATTTCTAAGAAGATGGTAAGCATAATCTTAAAAAAGCATTGAGCTCTGGGCTCAGCAGTATACTTATTGGTTATTATTGTAAATCACTGAGTCTTTTGGCCTCTATTATTCTTCTCTTCAGTGGGGGTAATGCTCATGTTTCTTTATTTTTTTTCTATTTAGCGCATAGGTAGTATGGGGAAAGGACTTTCTTTTTCCCTGTGTTGGTTAGTCCCTGGCACAAAATGGTAGCCAGCGAATAGTGTCCTAAAAATAACAAGATTGAATGAGAAAGTCAGAATTTTAGTTTTGTGTTTTGAGCGTTAAGAGCATACATTTGGGTCATATGTCCAGACTTACTTTCATGAGCATGGATCCTCCAATTTTATTTGAAGAAGAAAACAGACACTCTCTCATGTAATCATGCCTTCATCAGCTAGGAGCTTTTAAAAACCAACCAACCGAAAAATAACCATAGCTGTACTTTTTGCAAGACTACTGGAAGTCAAGGTTTGGCACTCCTGCAATTTGCTTTTGAGAGTTGGATTCTGTGAAGACTTGGACCTGTTATAAAGGGGTTTATCTGTAAATTGGATGGTTGAGAGGCTGATGAAGCTGCCAGATCTGTAGCTTCTCCAGGCCTTTCAAAGAGCAAAACAGGAGAAGAAATCTTGTTTTAAAGTATGAAAATGCAGTAGTCCGATGACAAATGTTAGCAGCAGGCCTCAAGAATTTACAGTGAGTGAAGGAAACTGCTATTGGATACCATATCGCTACCCTTTTAAGAGGAAGAAATTATTTCTCCTTCTGGCTTGAAAGGGAACAAACATGTATCAGTCTTGACGATGAACACTGGGGTCTGACATAAGCAGCGTCTACAGTAGGGGGGTCCAGGTCCTACAAGAGGAATGAATCAGAGTTGTAAATTTAATTTGGGTTCCTGCTGCGCAGAAGAATGTGATAGTCAGTTGTGAGAGAGATGTACGCTATGTTTTCTTCTCCTGTTAAAGACACTTACTTGAGACCTCTGGCGAGACTTGTAACAGTAGGAGAAATTCTTGTGTTAGTTTTCACTGTGTTGTGAAAGGACAGTGCTACGGTGAGTGATACCTGCTGAGGGCAAAAGAGAGTCAAACTGTTCCTCTTTTATGGTTACTTGTTACTTTACAATACATTGAAACCACATCCTCAATTTATTTATTTATTTTAGGTAGCAGTAACAATGATACTAGATTCTAAGATTTTTGTTTGTCTTTAAAAGGGATTATGTAGCTGTCACAAGCTTGCCAGAGTGTGAACCTGGATGTCACCTTAACCTTTGTGTCAGAGGATCTAACTGGTAGAACAAACCAGAGGTATCAAGAGGCTTGTTAGTTGGCAGATTTTTTCCTATTGTTTTTTGTCCTAATTTGTAGAAAGTTTTCATTGTTAAAAATTTCTGAGTTTGTAAAGAATCAGATTATTCCATCTTTGGAATGGGCAAAACATAATTATTAGTCTATAATTCGCTTCTAGTTTAGGTGGCTAGAGATGAGAGTTCCTCAGATAACTTGGTCATAAGATACTGAGTAAGTGAAGCCATGCTTAAATGCTACACTTTTAAATAGCTGTTCATGTGCCTGTGAGTCTGTTTGCACAAGCTTCCTACTGTTGCTCTTCCACTGCTTGTGTGGAAGTTCTTGCTTAGCAGACTACCTATGATTTTCATATTCAAGGACTGAGGAATAAGATGGGGTAGATCTGCACCTCTATACTTTGAACCCAGCTGGTATTACCCATTATGCATTCCCTTCGCTGTAGCCTGCCACCAAGTTTCTGCACAAGACAGGAAACATCAGAGGGAGGAATTTGGTCAATTTCATTATCAGCAGCTTGGGTTGCCTCTAGGAAGGAAAGATTTGCCGTATATTTAAGATGTGCAAGCCATTTCTGCCTGTGATGCTTAGCTGAGCACATGAGCTGAGGAATTCATCTGGGGAGCTTTAAATGCTTTGCACATGTTGATGAACTTATTTACCAAATGCTTGAGGTGAGGTACCAAGTATGTATGGGCTTAGAAGGCCTTGTTAACGTTGTGTTCCTGTGCAGCTCCATGGCCGGTAATGGTAATTCTCAGAGTAATGGCATTTCCTAGCCTGTAAGCTATCAACTCAGGCCAGGCCTAGGATAAAACAGGGAAAACGCTTGCCACTGGTGTTTCTTGTTCCATTGCTTGAACTGTGCTTGGATCGGGGAATGTGAACCATGTTACAGAAAAAAATCACAAGTGTGCTGAGCATCAGCAGAAGAACGAGGAAAAGACCTCTCCTCACCTCTCTCCTTTTCTGATCCACCCATGTACTTGGTACTCCCTGAAATCAAGAGAGTGGGTGCCTCGGGAGCTCTGGAATGACAAGTGCATGTGTAGAGATGTGTTTCTGGTGTGCGGTCAGGAGAGTTGCACTCGGTAGTCTGCTTAGGCCAGAGCAGTGCAGGTACAGTATGATTAAATCTCTTGCTTCTAAGAAGAGCTACTGCAGGAGAATAGAAGCCAAAATAATTATGCTGCTTCTGTCAACTCTCTCATACGACAGACTGTTTTTGGACCTCTCCATTGCCCCTAATTGGCTTAGTGAAAGGAAAGCTAATGTGTTGGTTTTCTGTGTTTAATGCTGCAACTTTCATTACCTTAAATATGAGGGAAACTGAAAAGCACCAATGGGAAGAACTAGCTGATTGTACTGGCCACTGGAATGGTGGAGACAGGAGCAGTGTGACATGAGAAGCAACACAGGCTGTCAGTACGGATTCCCGTTGGTTGACTTAATCGTGTGTGTTTAAAGGTGTCAAGAGATTTGAGCTTTGCATGTCCTAACTTGTTTTGAAAGAATGTAGCAGTCTTCAATGGAAGAACAAGAATTGTAGAGATTTGCTTTGAGATAGATCTGTGCAGGATTAGTGGAACTGAAGCAATCAGCCTGCTCTGTGTATTCTGCCTGAATCGGGTTGGATAATTTTTTACTGCCTTCTAAGAATTGTAGGAACTGTTTTGTTTTGTCTAACCTGTGTTTCAGGCCAGTTGCCTCCACCTGCCACCCAGTGGATGTAGCTAAGATGACAGAGTCAGGATTACTTGTGCATGTGAATGATGATTTGCCCTCAGGGCAATTCTGGCTGGGGTCCTTAGCTGGCAAATTCCAATGGCTACTGTTGAAGGGATGATGTTGTTCGTGTGAGGTTGATAAAAGGAAGGGTAAAATAAAATTTTTATTTATAACTACTGCCTTGTCAAATTACTGAAGTTTTGAAGGTGGAAACCATGTTGTTCATGCTCATGGTTCCTTTTGGCATGTTACCCTGTTTGTCTCTGGGTTCTTGTTTCAGAGTCTTTCTTCTGAGGCTGTCCCCTTCATGATGTTGTTCTGCCACCTGTTGCCATTGTAGCAGAGTGCCATCAGTAATACAAATTCATAACCAAAGCACAGTTTCTCATGTAGTTTCTAAAGTTGCTCCTCTTTGAGCAGGAGTAAAGTTGTGCTTCGGATTTTTTTCTTCTTTAAATCAAAAAAGAGATTTGATGAGTTGTGCTGGTTGTTAGTGATTTATTTAGAAGAGGACTGTTAAGTACCATTTAATGGTAGAGAAGGAAAGTTCGTAGTGTTCCCATGTCCATGGGAAGTTGGTTCCTCTTGCTGGAGAATAGTTATGCTTCACCTTTTGTATAGTTTGTGATCATGATGGTTGGCATGTCCCAGAGCAGTGCAGGGTAGTGGTGGTTGTACCCATGACTCTCATTGTGCTAGCTTGTCTGTACCTTTGCTGTGTGGGACAGGACATGTTCTCACAGTTGAGGAACCAGGAAGTTCAGGAGCCTTTCAAGGGGAGACCAGGTTTTTGTTGGTGTAGAGAAGAGTATGATCTGACTGAGATCAGTGGGCCAGGAAAGCGAGACTCTGCTGGCTTCTCCCATAGCAACTAAGAGACTGAGAGCTACATCTGACTGTGGAGATACATCTGCATTGGCTTTACATGCAAGGGGACCCTAAGGTAAAGACATTTCTGCCATTTGAGAAGCATCCTGCACAGCA